GGAACATAATTGGAAAACGGGTGACACACCTCAATTTTTTTGAATGGGAGAAAGTGTGAAGATACTTGTGTGCTCTGTGAATGCTTACCAATAGTGAACTCATCAGAAAAATATTTTAATTGTGAAGTGGATAGGACTACTTATTCTGTCAATATCAGTCAGTCTGTCTAATGGCTGTCATTACCCATTGTGTTTATGAGCAAAGATTCCATGGTGGCAGGGATGGAGGTTATGCACAGATTTCACTCATCAAGACTCATCTCACCCTGGCCACTGCCAAGTGCCCAGGCTCCAGCAGAAGAGACCAACMCTGAGTAACTGATATAACATTATTCGCTGGGCTGATTAGCCAAGTAGCTTGTGGCAGGTTGATTATATGGACCACCACCATTAGGGTGAATAATTTATTCTTATTGAAATAGAGACTTACTCTGGATATGAACTTACCTTCTCTGCATGCAGTGCTTCTACCAACACTATCATCTGTGCATTCACACAGTGCCTTATCCACCATCATGGTATTTCACAGAGCATTGATTCTGACCAAGGAGCTCACTATGCATCCAAAGAAGGGTGGCAACGGGCTCATTCTCATGGAATCAGCTGTTCTTTCCATGATCCCCACCATCCAGAATCTACTGATTTGTGAGTGTGGCAAATAACGTTTTGATGTTTATAGTTCTAGCTATTTAGCAACAGCTTTCAGGGCTGGGGCAGATTCTGTAGAAGGCTTTATATGTCCTGAAACCATATCTAATTTGCGGTGATCTTTATCCTATAGGTAGGATACATAGTTCCAGGAAACAAGGAGTGAAAATGGAAAAGACACCATTACTCATAGTAGCCTATTAGCAAAATCTTTGATTTTGCTTCCTACAACTTTATGCTCTGCTGGTGTATATTTCTTACTTTTAATGAAAAAATATTTCTACCAGGCGCCATAATGAGCCAAAGACTACTGTCTAATCACTTTGGACTCCTCATGCCTCTTAATCAGAATGCAAAGAAGAGAGCTACTGTGCTGTGCTGTAAGGCTGACTGGTCCTGACTACTAAGGGAAATTGGACTAAAACTCTACAGGCAAGGAGGAATATGTCTGGAAAACATCCCTTAGGACATCTGTTATTATTATATCTGGTGATTAAAGTCAATGGAAAATTATGACAACACTGTCCCGGTAGAACTATTGATGATCAGAGTTATCATCACACAAGGTAAAAGAAAAAAAAACAATTACCTTGTGGAAGGCAAAGGAGTATAGATTGAATGGTAGGAAAAGACTGTTACAAAGGTCAGTATGATCATGTCATTAGCATTCCCTCCTTAATTTGCTATGCCTGTGTTCTATATGTGTGTAGAAAATATTTTTCCCTTCCTTATTCATTTATCATGCAATATGATATGCAAAGATTTTAGATCATATATTTAAGTATTATTGATTCTATGTTATAGTATCTAAGCTATTGGATGCCAAAGAGAAGAATAATTATTATTGAAGAATTTTACTTCCTCTTCTGGAAAGGAAGCTAGTATATTTTCAGATGAAAGCAGAACGGTTATCACAGTCAACTTCACAGATGGATGCAGAGTATCCGTGAGGGACTGGTTTCAAACACTATGCCCCAGGTTACCAAAATCTGCATATGTTCAAGTCCCTTAGCGTCTACATATAACCTATGCAAATCTTCCTATGCAGTTTAAATAATTTATACATTATTTATATATCTAATACAAAGTAAGTGCTATGTAGAGCATTGTTACACTGTGTTATTCAGAAAATAATGACAAGAAAAATGTCTGTACAAGCTTAGTAGTGAGGCTATTTTTCCTAATATTTTTTTTCATTCTGTGGTTGGTTGAACCTATCGTTGTGGAATCTGTGGTTACAGATGTTCATTTTCATTATGTTAATCAGAATTACAATCTTTGTATTGTCCTTGTTTATAAATTAAGTACRACTTGTGGAGATGCTTCTGGGTGTGAAGGTAACAAGGATTGGACATGTGATTTTATGTGTCAATTTGACTAGGCCAGAAATCTGGTTAAACATTTTCTCTAGATGTTTCTCTGAGGGTATTTCTGAAAGAGATTAACATTTGAATCAGTAGACTGAATAAAGCAGATTGCCCTCCCCAATGTGGGTGGGTATAATTCAATCTGTTGAGTGCTTGAATGGAACCAAAAGGTGGAGAAAGGAACAATTCAATCTGTCTGGCTGACGGTTTCATTTGGGATATCAGTCTTCTCCTGCACTTAGGCTGGGACTTGAATCACCAGCATAATTGGCTCTCAGGTCTTTGGATTTGGCCTGAAATTTACAGCATCAGCATTCCAGTCTTAAAGCCTTCTGACTTGGACTAGAACTTATACCACCAATCTTTCTTGCTCAGGCCTTCACACCCAAACTGGAAATACACTGCTAGTTTCCTGGATCTCTATCTTGCAGATAACAGCTCCATAATTTCATGAGCTGTATTAATCAGCTTTTCATTGCTGTGACGAAAATACCTGACAACTTGAAAATATTTCTTTGGGGCTCTCAGTTTCAGAGATCTTAGTTTGTGGTTGGTTGACTCCATTGCCCTGGGTCTGACATGAGACAGAATATCATGATAGAAGGGCATGAGAGAGGAAAGCTTCCCAGGTGTTGGCAGCCAAGAAGCAGAGAAAGAGAGAAGATGGTGGAAGGTGAGGAAAGGACTTACGTGCAAAGAACCAGGAACAAAATATAATCCCCAAGAACACACCCCCAGTAGACTACCACCCTGAAGTTCTTTCAAGCTATTAATCCATCAAGTGGATTAATCCATTGATGAAGTTATAGCTGTCATCATTGCCTAAAACTCTTACTTCTGAGCCTTCCTATATTGGAGATCATGCTTTCAAAATATGAGGTTTTCAGGGACCATTTATAGATCAAACTGCAACATGAATAATTCTTTAAAATAAATATCTTTATCTCCCATCTCTCCCCTTCTTCCATACACACACACAACACACACACACACACACACACACACACACACACACACACACATACCCACATAAATATGTATATAAGAAGTGATCTAATTCTTCCAATTTTGTTCCATGTGCCTAAATACCACCCCCTGACCCCCAGTAATCTATTCCCCTGGATGGATTAATCCATTGATGAATAGGCGCCTCATGATCCAATTACTTCCCAAAGGCCTCACCCATGGACATTGTTGCCCTGGGAAACAAACCATAAGTTTTGATAGGACATTCCATAAAATGTACAACATCTACAGTGTACATAAAACTGTGGACTTTGAATGCAACGACGTATAAGAGCAGGTTCATTGCATTGCATTAGATGTACTATTGTAGTATGGGATATTCATATTGGGGAAAGAAGTTCATATAAGGGGCAAGGATACAATGAAACTCTGTGTATCTTCTGTTCAATTTTGTTGTGAAGCTGAAACTACTTTAGAAACTAAATTGTATTTTAAAAAGTGAATGTTAGGAGGGAAAAAAGTGAATGTTAGGTTACCTGGGATTCTCAATGAAGATGGTCAGATTTTTTGAAAATCTTAATGTTCAAATTGCATATTTAGTCATCAGTCACTTGCACAGTGATGAATAATAAAAGAAAGAATGTGATACTAAATTAGATCATTTAATATTAGATAATAATGAAACATATATCTTCAAAATAAAGTTAGTGTAAGAGAGAATGGGAAATTATAAAATTTTAAAACAATATTAAGGATTCTGAACCATGTTAGAGAAAATTAGTATAGATCTATCATTTAATAATGCTTAATCATGTAGATAATTAAATTTGGGCTCTAGAAATTGGGGATAAAAAAGGGAAAGAACTTTTTTAAGTAAGGTTATATTTTTAACCACATATTTTTGTCATTTTAAACGCCTAGGAATTTCAATACTTTAATGGATTCAGCTATCTCTAAATGTTTTTAAGCATGTAGTGAATTCTCTGGAGACCCTGTAAAATAGTCTGTTAACATATTCATTGTCTTTCTAAGATAAGTTCACTATAGCTAGTCTATTAGTCTGTCTTGTGATTTATTTCAGAGACAAAATGAATGTCTTCATTTTTCAGTCATGATTATTAAGTCCTGATTTTTAATCAAAATTTGAGAGCAATTATCATCTATTCAAATACCTTCATTCCCTTTCCTAGATATTTTTTTCCTTCTGAGAGTAAATCCTACTTGACACCATCATTAGAAACAATTTATAAGTAATTATATTTGGACATATTCCCTTTTCTAATCTCAGTTTTTTAAAATAGTATCTTAATAATCAACACTGAACATTTTTAGATAAAGAAAAATTTTGCTGATGTTCCAGAAAAGGCTTGGTTTTGACATTTTTTTCTCTTTCATTGTATTCTTCTCCTACTCCTGGATGTTGTCAAAGAATTTCACAAGGCAAATATACACGTATCCTCACAATATAAATAGAATTCCATCTATGTGTGATATATGGCTGAAACAGAGGTTCATATCCCAAAGCTGAGACAGAAGCCATCTGTATGATGGAGTATTTACAACAAGAGGCTTGGTAAATATTTAAATCATAAGAAACTATGGGAGGGACAATTATCTGTGGCAAACACATAAATAAACAGTGCTGCCTCCTGAGCCTTAACTTTACTAACAATAAGATGAAAGCAAAAATATTTGGCTCTAGAATAGTAATGATTAAGTTGGCAAATTAAGTAAAAGTTTATTATTAATTATAAAATGCCATCTAAATATTGGAGAGCATAAGAAGTAATAGTTTTACAACCTGAGAATTGAGAGAGAAATTAGGCAGGCCAAGCAAGAGGAGGAAAAGGAAGAGGAAAGCACTGGCTGTACATSTAAGACTTGAATGAAAGTGAGGGCTGCATGAAATTCTTTCATCACAAATTCTTTATTATGTATGAGTGTCTGTTATGGTGCCATAAAACATAAAAATAGTAAAGCCTGTGAAAACTGCAACACAAAGAAAGAAGCCAAGGAAAGAATATGAATAATTTAATCAGATAAATTCAAGTTCATCCCCAGTTCATTTGCCTTTTATTCTTCATTTCAATTAGTTACATGTCCATCGGTTATCACCAAGGTTGTGCATGCATCTTGAAATGTTCACAAAAGGTCCACGATACAGGGGGTCATATTTAGGTTATATATTATATTCAGAATCCCAGGGGAACTAATAGAGTCCAGAAATATTGATTAAGCAAGATGAAAAAATCTTATATAGTTTCAACTGCAACAGTTTTAAAGACAAGTACAAGCTTCATTTGCCACAAAACTCACAAAAATTAATTGATTGAAGAATATCTCTTTTATGCAAAATATACATTTTACGATATAATTTGATTAATATACTGCTATATACTGACATTGTTCCTTGATCATTTAATAAAAAAATACTTTCATTGCCAGAATTTTATATTTCTTAATATTTATAATTGAGGTCACAATGACAAAAGACTTAAAACTACGAACACTGTTCATGAATTTCTTTTAAGCCATAACAATTTTCCAGAATGAAACAAATATGTGACTAAAAATAGGTCAGTTTTGATAAATAGACAAGTAAAAAGGTTGCAACGTAATTGACAAGCTGATAACATAAGAGGTTTATAAGAGAGCAATATAGTCAATGCTTATGAATCCAACCCATACAGTAGAAATAAGAGAAATTAAAACAGACCTATACTAAATCAGTATTACTGCCTTGTATAATTCACAGCACAACCTACAGCAGGCCCATGAGGAGTAATTCAAAGCAGCATGGGCCTTACTTGAAGCTTCGAAGATGTTGATCGTGAGTTTGGCTTCCCTTGACGTGGGATGGCCAAGGGCATTGACCCATGCATACGTGTTGGTATTTACAGTTGTTTCACAGACACTCGTCAGTCCTACAAGCAGAACACTCAAATGGGGAGCACCAGATGAGTTCCAGCCACAGTCCTTTTATAAGCTTTAAAAGCCTCGTGAAGACTCGAGGACCTCCTCCACGTATAACTTGGTCACATCAGGGCACATGCTGCAGCAGAAGCCTGTTTCCAGTACAATCCTTGGTATGGCTAAATTCCACTGTCCCTTTTTCAGCAGTCAAAAATCCATGATAAATTCTGTACAACACTGCAGTCAATAACAGCAGCACCAGACAGCGTATTAATTCCTTTACCATAAATCTGTGGGTAATTACAACACTCTATGTATGGTTTTTATCAAAATGATCATAGTATCTCTAAATATAGATATTTCGTCTGGGTAAATACATTGTTGTACAAGATCTCTGACATGCAGGTCATGCTGTGGGTCTCAGGGATATAGAATATTAGATGTTTCTTGGCCAATAATAAAAATGACAGTTGTCTTCCTATCAAAAAATAACCATGAGAACTAGGAATTACTCTATAATCTCAAGGATCCTAAGTGCCTTAAAAATATATTTTTTTTAATTTCTCATTTTATCTTATGGCATTTTCTTCCCTCACATGCCCGATACACCAGACACACTAGTGCTATTGCAATTGGTAAGGATGTGTAAACAGACTTTCTTCTACTCAGACTAAGACTCCCTAGGGATTTTGTTGGCGTGTAGTGACGAATGCTGGTTGCTAGGTAGTAGAAACTGACATTGCAGCAGGCAACCAAGTGCTGTGGTGAGATTGCTGCTTAAATCCTGCTTGTCGAAAATTTTCACAGTGCGATTAGCTTAGGTAGTTTACAGGGCATCGTTAATTTGTACACAAAGCAGAGAGGCTGCTCCAAATAGCAAAGGAGACAGGGAGACGGGATGAGGGATCCACTACTGAAATCATGAACACTTTCTCAAGGCATTTCTACAATTCATGGAGACAGATGGCAAATACAGTTAGGACAGGGAGCTAAGACAGACGGAAACAACACACAAGACAAAGCACCTGATTAAACACTGCATGAAAATCTGATTAGTCCTTTGATTCAGAATTTTAAGGCTAGTCAAAAAAGCCTCCTGTGAACACCGGTGACCTTTGACATTTGCACAAAAATTAATAAGTAAAAATAAAGGAAGGGGCCAAAAGACACGAGAGCTTTGGGTGATATTTGGCACTCTGTCTCTGAAAATGATGACAAATTCTGGGACAGGAAAAAAAAAAAAGAAAAAGAAAATGACTCCAGTACCAAGCAGTAATTCCTGACTAAACAATGCAAGCCTGGTTGGCAGTTACCTTTCTCTCATGTTTTGTGCCTTCCCCAAGTCATTAAGTAAGAGATCTGGCCTCAGCTTGCGTGTAACCAGTAATGACAACCTCTTTGCAGTTATCTGTGTACAAACAACCAAAGACATTCAGAACTCCAAGATAGCACTTTTGAAGTCAATCAATTAAGAACTTAAAGTATTTTAAACAAATATTTTTATCAAAGAATACGGAGAAAAGAAACATTAAGGAAAAAATCACCCTCCTTGTCCCACAATCCATGCAGAACAGTCAACCAGTGAGTGATTTCATATCAGGAGGATGGTTCGATGAAYGTACACATATCCTGAGCCATCCACAGTTCCCAAACTGCAACACTGCTCTTCAGATGATAGAGACAAGATGGTCCATGTATATATGAGCTGACCAGAGTCATTATTTTGTGCAATCGAGATTGGATCCCGGACATCTTCAGAATGGTTTAGAATCACAAGAAATGAAGTTCCAGTGAAGTGGTTGGCATTTGGATGCACACTGTTTTAAATATATCTCCCTGAAATATGTTTATGTATTAGTATACTGGCCAATACCTGACACTAGCTGTCATTTTATTGCAAACAGAAATCAGGGCAATTAATATGGAGAAGTAGTAGCACGACTTTAGATAATCGTTGAAGCCAGAATAAGATTGGTTAGCTACTCAAGTGGCATTTCTGAATTCAAATAGTAGTATCATGCAGGACTTACACTGTATTAATGGAACCTGAAGTAACTCTACATTTAATTATTTCCATTATGGGGTAAACAGTACTTGAGTTAATACAATTTAGCTGACTGATGCAGTTTGGTTTACAAGATAGATGGGATGGGAGATCGAGAGCGCCTCAGAGGACAAGGAGAGTTGTAGGGTGATGTTACTGGAGAGAGCCTCAGAGCATTGCCTGCCAAGCCCGCTATGTTGTTTAAGCTTCGGGATTTTTCATAGCCTTTTATGAAAAAATGCACAGACGTCAGTTGAATTCAACCAGAAAATAGACAGAGACAAACAATACCATGCAGGGTATAATCAAACGTGCTATTTTTTGAGCTCAAAGAATTTGTTTATAAAGAACTCAATATTGAGACAATTTATAAATCTAAAAAAAAAATGAAATTCACTAAAGATGTCATCCCCCCAAAAAATTAAAACAGCTATCACAAATATTCTCACCCACATTATGGCTAGTCTTGACCTAATTTTGGCGTATAGAATAGCAGAATGCTTGGGAATTGGGCAAAGCAATTTAAGTAAGATATGGACGTCATGTTTTTAAATTTCAGAATGTTTTTCTGAAAATAAAAGAAAAAAATGAGCTATTTTTTCTTTTCATTTTATTACTTAGTAAGCTAATAAATTATGCCTAACTTGAAGTGGACAAATCTTTTTCCAGCATATATTTTTTTTCAGCTTTATAGGGTTAAAAGGATGATTCTTAAATAATGGCATTCAGTGCCATTATCCAGGTGGTAAAGAATGGAATGCCCAGGTCTCATCATCTGGATGAAATTAAAAGTAAATTAAAAATGAAGTAAAAGAATTATAAATTGAGTCATAATTTCAGTGAAATAAATCTGAATTTGACAATATACCATTTTCAGCTAACTTTTTCTCCTTCCCCTTGCACCCAGGAATTTTAAAAAATAATAATAATAGTTTAATTCACCTTTTCTTGCCATTATCTTTCTTCCTAATCTTTTGCTGAAAATTGCCATGGACAAAACAGCCTCTCACAAACATTAGCCCAAAGGCTTTCCTTACCCACTCAAGCAATCCCCATCAAGGGATTCATATAGTTTCTTTTATTATAAAATATTAGAGATAATTAAATGATATGGGGAGTGCCTAGTATAAAGTTAGAAGCAGGACAGCTATTGACTAAAAAATAGCAATCATATTACACAGCTTCAGAAATGAGCATTCTTATAACTCTGTAGAACAATTGTTATTGAGCAGGAAAATGAACATCCTTTTGGGCAACCAAAGTTGATCAAGTCCACACAATTCCAGTGAACTCTTTGTATCCTTAAGGCTACATAACACACTCTTTGGGTTCTCGTTAGCCCACAGTGTACTTGCTGATCATGGAAGAAAAAAATGAGTCTTGTGCTTATTTTTATGTTATTTGCAGCTACTTATTTCTTTATTTATTTTTCATAATCCCTCCAGAGAAGAACCATTGCCATTCCTCCTCCTTTTGCTGGAAGAGGAGAAGTGGCTTCTTTGATTCATTGATATATGAGAGTCCAAGATATGGATATAGATTGCAATATGAGCTCTATGACAGAGTAAAGCTGGACTGATTAGGAAAGGGAATATGAACACACTCTTTCCACATACACATCAGCATACATGACATGCATTTTATTTGGTTCTTAAGAGCATGTGCTTATTTAGAACAATGTAAAACTTACTATATAGGTATATCCATGAATAGTTTTATTGTAGCTAATATGCTTTCTTTTAAATTAAAACATGGGTAGTGGGTATAAGGAGATTGTTTTTAAAGGAACCTTTAAATTTTCTTAAAACTTATGCCTAAATACCTTCATATTTGTAGGTTAAACAAATGCAATTGGAATCCAGTAAATTTTCATACACTATTATAAGGGGGAAGATTTAGAACTCTAAAATAAAATCAGTAGAGAGACCAAATTTAAAGTTACATGAAGGTATCCTACACAAAATAAATTTCTGAGTAGAAAAAAAGAATTTATAATCTACATTAAAGGAAAAAGAAGAAGAAATAATGAATTTATGGTAGATATGAAAGATAACACACTAAAATGTTTAAGTAAGTTACCAGAAATGTTACTAGGTCTAGAAGAAAAAACACATAGCTATTAAAGAAATAAGCAAGAACGAAAAAGAGTTGACACGATAAGGAATGACAAAGCCAAAAAAGCTCATGGATAAGTTTCAGATTCTCACTGACAGAAAGAATCTGTGTTTGTGAAATTAAGTTGCATGTACAACTGTTCCATGCAAACTAAATATCTTATTAATTGCTTTGCTCATGAAACTTTTCAATTTTACAGTAAAACTTTAGATTTAAATCATACCTTATAGTTTGCATAATTTCTATAGACAGTTTAAAATACAAAATATTATCTAAAATGGAAGTAAAATTCTGGCAAGGTCCTTAAATACATAATCTTGGTATGAATATGGCATATAACACTTTATTGGATGATGCACAAAAATGTAGGTATTTTAATCACATATATATATAAATATGTATTATATATGTACACAAATAAACATGTACATATACATAGTAAGTTAAGAAGTGCACTTAGAAAAGTATGTTCAGTATGTTAGTATTATTATCATTATTTAATGCATATACATATATGTTGCTCAAATACTAGGGTAGGATACTAAGTATCTCCAAAAATATTTTAAACATTTTGCATTATGTAAATGTATAGTAGTAAACAATCAAACCCATTTAGATGATTGAAGTACATTTTGRTTTAAGTAACTATACAAACAATGAAAGTAATTAGAATGGAGAAGAATCCAAAATATTTCTTATCAAAAAATAACAAAAAAGTGTCCTTTGTACTCTCTTTTGAGCCTTAAAGATGTAAAAGCAAATGATCAGAAGAAATGAAAGAGGAGTATAACATAAGTARTGAGATATTTAAGAGAAAGAGGCCATCATAAAATAAATAGTGTACACTTAAAAGGGTAAGGAACTAACAGGAAAAACCAGAAATGAATAACAAATACGCACATTATTTTAAAAATCCAGTTGCACTAAAATGAAAGTTTGAGTAGTTTTTCATTCGAATTTAGTCAGTTTTCATAAGAAATCATTATAGATGTTTTCTTATTATGCTATTTAAAAAGACACCTGCCCATCCATTTTTATTAATTCAACAAATATTTATATTCCTCTGTGTCAGGTCTTATTTAATGCCTATTAGAACTAGTAATTTACTTAAAATTATTTTTATTGGTCCTAAAGAAAAATTCTATATGCACATTTTCAAATATAGATGTGACTTTTCAAGTGATTGAAATATAGATATGGCTAAGGATCTTGTACCTTCAAATCCTTGAGACATTTGGATAAACTATTAACAAAAACAACCCACGTATTGGATGAAAGATTTAGAGTATGCTCAGTACTTTGAGAAGAAAAATACCTTATAATTTTTTTAGGCATAAATTGCCTATCAAATTTATTCATAGAACCAGTTAGTGTGTTTCATTTGTCATAATGAAAAGATAACTTCAAAAGACTGTTGAATACATTATATTAAAATAATTAGATGAGTGATTTAATATTTACATATTACATTACAACTTCTCCCATAGGCAAATGACAAGCCAAAGAAAGGAAGAAAAAAGGTGAAATGCCTTTCAGAGATGACAACCAAGTAGGTTATTATGATAGGTATTTCAAAATGTTTATAGGGAGGGAAGATGTAATAGAGGTAAAGAGCACCATATGCTGTGTCTTTCCCAGAAAATGATGAATGAGCATTTTACATCATTTCATATTATTTCCAGAACTTACTTAATCGCTAGGTCACCTGTTAGGGTCTGATTAAATGCATGCCTACCTTTCCTGATCCCTCCATCAGATGCACACGTGTAATCACCTGTCGTCAGTAGGAAACATGTTTCCCCTCTTCTGTTTTTGTCTCTGGTACTAGAGCGTCTGATGGGGAGCCTTTCTGGGGGTGACAATGGCTGCTCACTTCCTGTACTGTCGTCACCTGATAACACTGGTCACAGCGCCATGCCCATTGACAGACAGTGACGGATGAGGAAATGAGACAGTACAAAGAGTTTACACTGAATGCCCATAGTACAGTCACTCGATATACAAAACACAATAATCACATCACGATAAGAAAAATAATTTTCATCACTCATCACAAAGAATAAAAAAAAACTACATGGAGCAAATGGAAAGATATTGAAAAAGAGAAAAATGTTCTTTCTGCAATAGTACTATTTTTTTGGATTTTTGTCTAAAAGAAAATTGGCTTTCACACAACTGGTATGGACTCAAAATAACTGAGATAATGAATTAGCACACATATTTGTTATGAGCTAGCCATTTACTATGAATAGGAGTGTTTTAAAATGGAGTCTAGTTAGGGAAAAACTCTTCAAGTATTTGTTTTCGAAGTTCCTTAAGAGACATACTTTTATCATTTTTTTTGAAAATTTCTTGAAAGTAATTTCCCCCAAAAATCTTAATAAAAATAATTCCAAAGCACAAAACTTTATGTCCAGGTACTCTATTTTGAAGTAGCAAAATATTTTTGAGCATTGAGTGAAACAAGATAGACTTCTTCAAATGCCCTTGAAATAGCTATCTGTTTACTTCTGTATGCTTGCCAAAGACTTTCACATCCTATCAGCCTGGATACTAGCTTGTCATTGCAGTGCTTACCCGAGATGAGAGTGTGTCTTCTTTTCTCCATGCCCTTCTTAAGGGCTCTGCATATTCTGAGAACTGTCTAATGAGAGCAGAAATACCAACTAAACTCMCCCTTTCATGAAGACATTCTAAACAGTTTTTGGATATATACTGACAGAATTCACATAGCAGTCTATTAAATGAACATAAGGACTCTGACTAAAAATTTTAAAAGGCAACTGAGCTCCTACCACAGTGTTTTTCTGTTTGACTCATAAAAATTCATGGAAGCTAAGGAGGGGCCTATAAAAATAACACCTGCTTTTTTTATTTGTTTGCTTCATTCATTGGTGTTATTTCTAAATGCTGCAAAATTATTCACATGGGCTCATCATAAGTCACTTTTGCTACAAGAAAATGAAGAATTCTGCTTCAATTACAGGGAATGCATATACCTTACATTTTCATAGTTGGATAAGAAACTAGTCAAACCATTGCTCTACAAAACCTTCCATCTGAACCAGGTAAAATAGACTAGAATTGACACTATTGACTATCACTTTGGCATACTGAATGTCACCTTAGAGTCAATTAAATCTAGTTTACCTATGGCAATGGAGGAGAGAAGGGATTCAGCTAATCTCAAGCAACAAATTATCCAAAATTCAATTCTGGAATAGAGTAGAGCTCAATGCATAGTGCATTAAAAAAGGAAATCCACAAAAAAAAAAAATTCATTTTTGTTCGTCCAAAGCAGGTCATCTGTGCTCAAATAATGGTGTGTGATTATATTACATATCATCTCACCTTACCAAAAGGGTTATGTTTAGTTATCCTATCTAATTTTATAATGATAAAAAATTGGTCAATCCTTCAGAATATTACTAAAAAAGACATTTGTTATTGAAAGAGTTATCTTCCATATCACCTCTTTGGTGGTTGGGCCTTTGATATGCAAGCATCCATTTCTCTTAATTAACTGCTTCTTGTGAGTTAGGTTGAGATGCAGAGCACCATGTGGCAGAGATAAAACTGAGACAAACACACCAAGCCAAACGATATGGAGATCAACGTTTTGAGAATGAAGGATGAAAAATGGCCAATATCATACCATCACGTCGTGCAGAGAAACAAAGAAACATTGGCACAGAAGCAACAAACAGGCAAAAGAAAATATTGGCACCATCAGCAAAGGGCATTCCCACTAAAGCAAGAAAACTCTATAGACCAGCTATGTTCACTTCTATTGGGGGTTCATTTAGAAAAGCTGCAGTCTAGTTGTCTATAGGCCTGACATAAACACACATTTTATGAAGGAATAGGACTGAAAACTCATAAACATTTGCAGGAAATGAGAATAACTACCTTCTTCCTAGGGGACATACTGGTCTATAAAGTATTTAATGACATGCATTTGAAATTGTGCCTTACCTGATCTGTTATGTTCCAGGAGACGGTTGTCTTTGCCCAGACATGTGTCACTTTGTGTGCTATTGCAGGCCACATTTAACTCCGTCTTGCAAAATGTAGGTGAGCTTGCCTGAGGGGCAGGAGGAATGTGCTTCTTTCTTTTTCTTGGAAGTTTCTGCTTCGCCATTGCCAAGGAGTAGTACATTCCAAAATTGTTGACAATGACAGGCACCGGCATGGCTATTGTCAGCACTCCAGCCAGAGCACACAAGGCTCCCACTAGCATCCCTGACCATGTTTGGGGGTACATATCCCCATAGCCCAAAGTAGTCATGGTCACCACAGCCCACCAAAACCCAATGGGAATGTTTTTGAACTGCGTGTGCTCACTAGCTGAAGGGTCGTTAGGTTGAGCTCCCACTCTCTCGGCATAGTAGATCATGGTAGCAAATATCAAAACTCCTAGAGCCAGGAAGATTATCAGCAGCAAAAATTCGTTAGTGCTAGCTCGAAGAGTGTGTCCAAGCACCCTCAGACCTACAAAATGGCGGGTGAGCTTGAAGATTCTCAGGATCCTCACAAACCTTACCACCCTGAGGAAGCCAAGGACATCTTTAGCAGCTTTGGATGACAGCCCACTGAGTCCCACCTCTAAGTAGAAGGGTAGGATTGCCACAAAGTCAATGATATTCAAGAGATTTTTGATGAACTCAAGTTTATTGGGTGAAAAGACAATACGGACTAAAAATTCAAAAGTAAACCACACCACACAGACTCCTTCCACATAGGTCAAGGCAGGATCCGTTTCAATTTCATACTGTAGAACAACACTTGTGCCATTGATGACTGGTTCTGTCTTGTTTTTAACGATATTGAAAGCTTCATGTGTCTCCAGGCAAAAGGTTGTGATTGAAACCAAGATGAAGAATAAGGAAGCAAAAGCAATAAACTGTAGAAAAAAAGAAAGAAAAAAAAAGAGTGATCTGAATCCTAATATACTTTSATCCAAATCTAAGTACATTGATCACTGGAAATAAAAACAAAAATCAGTATATCTGGGGATTTCACTTAGATGCTACTCAAATAAAAGGAAAAAATGGATAGGCAACATTAATTAGAGTGCACATGCAATGTTTCAAGAGTTTTCTGATTATATGGATTTTTCCTTTATGTTGGAAAATAATTTATTAAAACATTCGTATGAGAAAATAAAACCTGATAAGACAGCATAAAAATGACTCTGAACAAATTTTTAAAAACAGCAGGCTGAAAAAAAAAGAAAGAAATTGAGACAATGGTTCTAGATATTATTTGTGATCATAGAACTTGTCATATATTAGATCAAGTTTTAAACCAATAAATATAAGGTTCATCGTACACTGATGGAGATTTGGAAGTCACCCAAATTTAGAAGAATCTTTCTACTTATAAATAAAATGCTCTAGATATTACCAGGAATAAACATGAAAAAATGTAGTATATGGAACCAATTAAATCCTATCAACTTAAAGAGCAGACTTTTCCAATACAGCAGCGAATCTAGTGAGGAAACGTAAGGAAACAAGACTGAAAGGAGAGAAACTGAATTACAGAAGGAATTAAAAGACATTTGTCTTCTACTGAAAAAGAACCTCAAAGTGTTAGAGTCACAAAGTTAAAGTTTCTAAAAAATTCAATTCTGTATTTCATGTCTTCAGTCAATAATATATTAATGGTCACATACCTACTCATACAGACTAATAAGAAGAGATCCCACTTATAGTTCTACCATTACCAGGCACTACTAAAAGCAGTTTACATGATTTATTTATATTAATCTCAACACTATTATCACCCCATTTTACACTTGAGGAATATCAAGCTTGGAGAGTTRAAGTCACTCTTCCTAAGTCATAAAACACAAAATGATAATCCTGAGAAACTAACCTGACAAGCTTCTGTTCCCTTACCTTACCAAGTTCTCAAATGTAGAATACAAATGTGTTGGAATTCATTTACTTAGGCTGGGATCACACACTTCTAATATTTAAGATCTGAAAATGTGAAACCCAATTGTTGTAATAAAAGGCATTGCTGTAGCAGTATTCGAAGCTTTCAAAATAACTGGCAGACTTCGAGTGGGCTCTCACAATGCTCTCAGATGTAGCATGCTAAATGAACAACATTCCTTGAACATCTAAACAAATGAAGTACTCACGAAAAGGAAATTGCCTGTCAAGTGGAAGGAAGCCTTTATTGAGAAATAATAGGGTGTATCCAAAACCCAAAGTGGAACCCCAGGATCTACTCCTCAAGCATTGCCACTGAGAAGAGATGATCCAGGTTTTAAGATGGAAATTGCCTCCTTTTTCACCTGGTTGAGTTTCTTTACGTGAGGGCTATACAAAAGAACTAAATAACCAGAATTGTGCTACCCACCTTAAAGATAAGCACCCTAAATTATGGAACTGTTTCTGAGTTGTGTGCCAGTGGGTACATCAGGATTGTGGAATCATATGACTGCCATTTTCATGGCTTTGACTTGCTTTCCCATGAACATCTTCTAACGGTCTTTGTAGCATTATGATCCCGCCATTAACTTTTCCAGATGAATTGTGTAAGTAAGTTTTCACTCAATTTTCTCTTTGTGCAAATAAGTGCACAGTTCTTAAAGTCAACTAGGTATTTCTAAGACTTAGTATAACTGGGCTGGGGATGTGGCTCAAGCGGTAGCGCGCTCATCTGGCATGCATGCGGCCCAGGTTCGATCCTTAGCACCACATACAAACAAAGATGTTGTGTCTGCTGAAAACTTAAAAAGTAAATATTAAAATTCTCTCTCTCTCTCTTAATAAAAAAGACTTAGTATAACTAATATTAACACTTTAAAATGTGGTATCTTTTAGGGAAAGAATCAATTATTCTGGATCATAAATTGTTTCTTAAACCACTCCTAATTTTGTCAATAGAATTTAGAGTTGCATTTATTTCTGATTCAACCCCAAATCTTATATTATTAGAATTCTAATGATACAAACTTACGGACCTTTCCCATCCTGGGTCCCCACTATTCACCATAGTCTTCAGCATTTCAGGCTAAATATCAAAATTTTTAGTGTACAAATTCTATCTGTGAGGCAATTGGAAAATATAAGACACCTAAACTGCAATTTTCTTTTATATTTCTATTTTATTTGGTCATTATTTTTTTCCACTAATTCTGTACTTTCAAACTCTGCCTATATTCTTATGGCGAATTTGAAACTTTCCAGGGGTTTTCTCTTTCAAAATCAATCTCAGTGTGCCTGCCCATATCCACACAACAGAAATAGTTTTATGGTGCATATTGATACTTATAAATATAAAATACTGAGTGAGACCTTTGCTCATCAGAAAATTTCCTACCATTCATTCATTCAATAAATGAGTACCGGGTGCCTATGCCGTAGGTTCTTAAATTAACAGCAGTTGATAAGACACAGTCCCTTCTTTTTAGAAATTCACAGTGTACCAGGGAYATAGGTATGAAATTCATTCATCAACACAAAAATTATATAATTATAATAGTCATAAATGTGATGAAGAAAAAATGCAGAGTACTTCGAAAGGATCAAAAAAAGAACTCTATTTAGCCTGAGAGGTCATTGAAACCTCTGACAAAATGTCTACAAATTGAAATTTGAGGCATGTATAGAAGTCACCCTGATGGAAAGGGAAGATTTGTACATCCCATGGTAGAAAAATATTTTTAAAAACTTCTAGGTTTTTTTGATTCTACTTTCTCAATTGATTCTTGGCTGTAATATTACAGAGCCCCAGATTTTTTCATATCTCCTTCTATTGTATAGACTGTGATGTATACATTCCAATCTAGCATGGAGACTCTGCCTTTTAAAAAGGATTACCCTATTCTTGAGGAAAGTTTAATATATCAGAATTATTAGCTGGGTCTTAACATGGGGCTATAAGGTCACATTAGAGAGTCTAATTACTGGCTGTTGGGTTTTGTTGCACTATGGAATTCTCTTGTCTTAAACTATTGTACCAGCCACACTGTTTGATATGTGAAAATAGGAGGTAGCTATTTCAGTGGTTTTTAACTTAAAGCATTATACAAATTTTAGAACATATGTATGTGTATATTTTTGATAGTTATCAATTCAATATGAGCTTTAGAACCTGATGTTTATGTTCATTAAAGAAGCCATTACATTATGAGAAGGTCAACAGAATCTTTGTGGTTGGAATGTAGTATCTTGATTCATCTTACACTTGGAAACAATTTACGTTTTCTACCCTGGAAGAGCAGGGTGGTACAAAGGTTAGATTCATTAGGATATACCCAAAGAGTGTACACAAGCGTGAATTCCTCACCCTCACATGAGACATCAGACCTTATTGTGTGGAGAGAGGGAATCTGTTTTAACAAGCTTCCCAAGGGGATGCTATGCATACTAAAGTTTGAAAACAACTTCTAGTGTGCTTTTCAGAAGATTGATAATATAAGTTATTAAATGCATTGGAACAGGTTTCAAATTACAAGCAATTATAGCCCCTTAAGAGAATCATCCTGAAGTCTTCATAGTAATAACTCTCCTCTTCCTAAGAAAAGTGATGTTTTGTGTATGTTTATGTGTTCATGTGTATTTTGACCTATTTATGATTTCTACACAAATGCTTATGAGTGGAATACATTGTCTGAATAGCTTATAAATATATTCAATTCTAAGACACAAAACTTTAGAGACCAAGTGTTGTCTGTTTTTGTAAGTCATTTGATACTTGTGTTTATCAATATTTGTATTAGTATTATTTAAAGAACCATATCATGTTTTTTTTCTACTTGTATAATCTAATTTGCTAWTATGATAGCCCTAAATATCTTCAGTTTTAAGTATTTGTAAATCTGCCGGGCAGTGATATCACTATAATAAGAAAATAAAGAATGTTAAAGAAAAAAACTTTGGTTTTTGATGACAAGACATAATCATCTCAGAAGTAGATGATTGTTTTGATTAAACAAAAAAACAGCTGGATGTATATTTTTCTCTGCGTAAAAACTAAGGATATTAGGCTAGAATGAGAAGGTTGTAAGACAGAACAAAAGTATGCTTCATAATAATATGATACACACTTGGAAGTTGGCTTCTATCAGCTTACGAGTGGGAAATTGCATGAGCAGTTAAAAGCTTGAAGAGAGGGAAGAAGGAAAGCTCTAAAGAGAAAGAACAAGAGCCCATAACCCCTCCACAGGGTACAGAAGCCGAACTTTGGAGATTACTGAATTTTAAGATAATGCTTTACAGTTATGCCTTTATCAAAAGCAAATTGATGTTGATGATTGTGGGAGGCCATCCTTGCACGTGATTTGAGTTACCTCCCTGGCTGGGTGAGAGGTGCTTAGACACAGCTGTGTCAAAGCTATTCCCCACCCTTCTCCAGGTCCAAGGGCTTGTCCATGCAGAGGCGTGTCTGGTCACTGCCCCGAAGACCCAATCGTTGCCCCTGACCTTGGGACCTTGGGACCTTGGGACCTTGGGACCTTGGGATGCTGCCCCCCTTAATCTTCATTGGATGGGATTTTCCCAGGAATTTCTTGTTCCCCAATAAAAGTCCACAATCTGGCGCGTTTCTCTCTCTCTCTCTCTCTCTCTCTCTCTCTCTCTCTCTCTCTCTCTCTCTCTCTCTCTCTCTCTCTCCCTCCCTCCCTCCCTCCCTCTCCCTCTCCTCTTCTGTAAACCTTGCTACCACATTAGGTGGCTGGAGGCTGGAGCTAGGAGAAGCCATCCTGGAGCTGGTTTAAAGGTAATTAGAGTCTTGTCTCTTTAATTTAAAACTCCCTAGCATTTTGCTCAGGGTTCGAACCTTCTTTAATGAAGCCAGCTCTGGTCGCAGGCTAGAGATGATGCTTTAAKTAATGAAAGTATTGAGTCAAAGGAGAGAAAAAAGAGAGACAGCAACCATAGTAGG